GCAGATTGCAACTGTGGCTTCACTAGAATGCGTGAACGGTGACGTCAGCTCTGTATCATATTTGCGTGGGTGTCGTTAGAAATCGAGATTACAGCTGGCGGTGCAACGACATATATACTCAATTGTATACAGCATGTGTGTGTCGAGGCGGCGATTGATGAAGGTGCATTCTCAATTCAATCATATATATATACATGACGATAGGGACTTTGTTAGGAGACGGCACCAGACACAGTATGCCAGCCGCATGGGCGCACACAATTAATTGCAATTTACGGTAAAATGCTCAAGAGAAATTATGACGCATGCGGTATGCTGGCGAACGATACCCAATCCTGACAAGCTATGCACTAGAGAAGGGGGAAGGAGGAGCAATCGTGGTATTACACAAGGCTGATGAAATACCCTAGTCCAGAGATGCCAACACGTATTTGAAGCAATCTGTAGTTTCTGGCCATCAAATTAGTAGTTCTACGTGACACGAGTTTGCTAGGGGGGTCCGGCATGCCCCCCGGAAAAAATTTTGATTTTGAGATGCAATTTCCTGCATTCTGAGGGTCAAAAATGACAATAAATTGACAAAAAATGACAATAATTATTTTATTTTTTTTTCGATCACAGTGAAATTCGTAGTTTGATACAAACTGGTCGTAGTGGTGCAAAAGGAATAGAAATTCGTATAAAATACGGATAAATCGTAGTGGTTGGCATCTCTGCTGGTCTCAGTGCACAGCTTGACAAAATGATTCAGGTGACAAACAGCAGCAGAACAATGTCATCACCATCATCTTCATTATCGCTCCGTCGTCACGAAGCAGCTGCCAGAGCCCAGCTTTGTTGATTAAAGGCCGGTGTATCCATGGCAACACGCAAACGTCAATTTACCAAAAAGGTTGTCACGTTAGAAACCGCGATTTAAAAAAATGGAGCAAAATATGAGGAAATGAGAAATGCAGGTGGGGATGAAAGAGGGAAGGAGGAGGAGGATGAGAAAGTGGTTGCTGATGGTATTTGAAGCGTATAATGGGAGCAGTGAGATAATTGCTGCGCTTCGCTTCTCCACCGTGAAAGGTTGCCACGATAGGTGCAAGCACTGTACCTCGTCATCAAACCGCAGCATTTGCACACGGCTGTGACGTTGAACAACCAGACTGTCTACATCTACATCTACATGGTTACGTAACTTACGTCGATCT